GTGGAAGCAGAAATACTAGCTGGGAGGCTGTGACAAAAGATCCAGGAGAAAGATGGTCATAATTGAGATCACTGTGGTGGCAGAGGAAGGGGTGAGCAGGATTCTGGATTTATTTTTAAAGTAGAGCCAACAAGAGCTGATGGATTAAATGTGGGATGTTGAGATACAGAGGAGTGAAAGAAGGCTTCTGGTTGTTCTGAGCAACTGGAATTACTGAGATGGAATAGACTGAAGGAGAAGCAAGTTTGAGGAGGCCTTTGGGAATTCAGTTTTGGACATGTTAAGTTTGAATTGCTTATTAGACTTGAAAGTGGAGATACCGAGTCTGGCATTCAGGACGAAGGAGGCTGGTGGTCTCCATCTGGGAGCTGTCAGTGACTTGGATAACAAAAGATCCTCTAAATCTCTATCTCTAGACTGGCTTTTTATCCCAAGTGCCAGCCTTATAGCCACTTGCCTACTAGTTATCTCAACTTGAATGCCCACAGGCACCTTAAACTCATTAGGCCCCTGTCTTAGTCATCTAGTGCTGCTCTAACAGAAGTACAAGTGGATGGTTTTAACGAAGAGAAGTTTATTTCCTCACAGTCAAAGTAGGCTAAAAGTCCAAATTCAGGGTGTCAACTCCAGGGGAAGGCTTTTACTCTCTGTCGGCCTTTTCTTCGGTGTTCTCCCGGACTAGGAGCTTCTCTGCGCAGGGACCCCGGTCCAGAGGACGTGCTCTGCTCTCGGCACTGCTTTCTTGATGGTAAGAGGTCCCCGTCTCTCTGCTCACTTCTGTCTTTTATATCGCAAGACATTGCCTCAGGATACAATCCAATCTTGTAGACTGAGTCCTGCCTTACTAACACAACTGCCGCCTATCCTCCCCCATTAACATCATAGAGGCAGGATTTACAACATATAGGAAAACCACACAATTCTGGGAATCATGGCCCAGCCGAACTGATACACACGTTTTTGGGGGGACATAATTAAATCCATGATAGCCCCCAACTCAACCATACAAATTCTCCAATTTATTTTTCATATCTGGAAATGGTATGAACAAGAAATCTGGGGTGATTTTTGTCTCCTAGCTCTCTTTCCATAATCCTATTTCCATTTTAAAATGACTATAAATAAAACAGACTTCAATATGGAATTTTAATTTACAGTAAATTTGCTGAGAGTGTCTCTGTGAATCTGGGGAATCTATGGAAACCAGTAAAGCTCAGTAAAAAGGCAACTATAGAATAGACCACGAGAGGGCATCACTTTCAGAGGAAAAAGATTTTACTGTGGAAAACCTGAAGAAATGTTAACACTGGAACAGACCTGAGATATTGAGATTTTTATCCCCTTATTTTGCAAATGAGACAACTGGGATCCAGAGGGAGCAAATAACTTGCCAGCATTACACAAATACTAGCAATAGAATCAGAACGAGAACCTGGTCTCCCGACTTGTATAGAGTACATCATGATTCTTCATGAAATCAGAGACAGACCAGACTTTCATATGGACTTTTGGCTCTTTTCCACTGTTTGTATGCAGCTACTGTGTTGTATGCCTGGACTTGCTGGAGCTGCTGCAAGGTGAGAGTGGGCAAAGAGGGTGGTGGCGGGGAGAGTGAGTGTGCTCATGGAGAAAGCCTGTCTGAGAGTGAAACCACTATGGTAGAAAGCATAGGTCGAGATGGAGAGACCAGGGTCTGAGGGTATCATTTGAGCCCCACATTATGCTGTGCTTGAAGCTAGTACCACCACTTGGACATTTCAGTTACTCAAGCCAGTATATTTCCATTTTATTTAAAGCCAGTTTGTATTGGGTTTTCTGTCACTTGCAACCAAGAGTCCTGAATATGCCAAGCTTCTTACTTTTGCAAGATGGCCAACAGTATTCAAAACATGATGGTTTTAGTTTGGAAAAAAATTAGGCAATTAATCAGGCTGGGTTTAGAAGGTGATAACTAAGGACTGAAAACCATGAGTAACTTCTCAAGTTTCATTTTTTTCTCAGAAATTTTAGTTCCTAAGTTATTGGTATAATTGTTTTTTTCACTGCTGAGTTCTCCGTTTCATTTTTTATTTTATTGCCTTTAAGGTGAATCCATTGCATTCTCGAAAGGGTAAATCATTTCAAAGGAGATTGTTAAGAAAATATTATCATATTGGTAGAAAATAAATGCAGGTTGTGTAACATTTAATACAATAGTGTCCTCTGATTCTCTAGGGGCAGAGCAGGGAGTAAAAAAATACTTTGCGTACATTCAACAGTTTATGTACTTTGCCTTTATGTGGCATCATCTCGTTTTGAACCCATAGCAACTCTGCAAAGTGTTCTCACATCTATAATACAGATGAACTAGAGATGCAGAGGTTGTCTCTTGTCCAAAGTCACCCAACTAGTATATGTAAGCACTAGGATCTGAATTCATGTATGCTTTTGCTTTTATGCTAGAAGTATTTGTATTCCCTCAGAACCCAGTCCTGATAAATTTCCTAGGAACTTCAGAAAACTTTTGATTGAGATGTTAGCTTTTAACCTGTTTTCATTAGGATGATGGTTGAACAACATGGTGAACGTAATTAATGTCACTAAACTGTACATTTCAAGATTGTTGAAATGGCAAATGTTTTATCACATGTATTTTTACCACAATAAAAAAAAGGGAAAAAAATGTCATGATGAAAGCATAATGTATTGAAAGGATATAAAAAATAGTTATCCAGCCCAGCTACGTAGCTCTCTACGCTAGCATTTGCTCAGAAGTTTTTTTCCTCTTCCCTTCCAAATCTTTGCTGCTTTTCCTGCTTGAGGTATAGCATACACCAAATGTGTAAAGTGCATTCATCTTAAGTGTACAGCTCAGTGATTCTTCAAACGTTTCTATCCATGAATCATTATGCAGATGAAGACATACAACATGTCTAGCACCCCAGAAGTTTCCTTTGCCTCTTCCCAGTCAGTTATCTATCCCAACCCAGGAGTAACCGCTAGTGGGACTTCAATGGCTTAGTTTTGTCTGTTCTTGAACTTATTAATGGAATTGTCCCTTTTTTTCCCATTGCTGTCAATTCCAACGCATGGCAACTCCGTGTGTTAGAGTAGGAGTGCTCCATAGGGTTTTTTGTGGCCGTACTCTTTACAGGAGCAGATCACCAGGTCTTTCTTACACAGTGCTACCGGGTGGGTTCAAATCACCAACTTTTTTGGTTAGTAGTAGAGTGCAAGCCACTTGTGCCACCCAGGGGCCAATGGAATTGTACAGCATGCGTTTTTGTATCTGGCTTCTTTCACTCAACATGACATTTGTAGATACATCCTATTGTGAGCTGCTTTATTTTTCCCATTGCAGTGTTGTAGTCCATTGCTCACTCTTAATGCATTTTTCATATACTTAGCTTTGTAAAGTTTCATAGACTGAGTGAAAAGGGGCCTTCGGGATTATCCAGCCTAATGGAGCCTCCATTTTACCAAGAAAATACAATGCCCAAGGAGGGTCTTTCCCAGCCAAGGTGGCCCACCAGGGTCCCCTCACTGCCAGCCCAGGCCTCACCGATCACCATCTAACTTACTTTTCTAAGTATCACTTGGCACACGTTTCCAGAAGTGTTTATAGGGAATATTAAATATTTACACAATAGTGGAGAGGAGAAAGCAGCTGGTAGAAATCAGTGGCTTATCTTCAGGGAAAGTGGGGGAGCTGTAACCTAGATGGAAAGCTCATTAGTTTCAGGCCATTTCTAACAAGCAGGACCTGTGAAAACCTTGCAGCTAAGCAACATATTTAGACTTGGAAAGGGCCCTTTATCTCTGAGTACTCTGAAAGGCCCTGGCATCACAGACATGGCCTAATACAGCCACATCCTGGGTTTCTGTGTATTCTCTTGGTTGATTTCATGTCGGGTGGTAGTTTAGAAGGGAGAGGCCAAGGCAAGCTCCCTGCATTCTGAATGGAAAGGCTCCAGCAGCCTGAGATGAGCCCTGCAGGAGACCTCTTACTGATCCAGAGACTTCACGGGCAGGAAACTAGACTTTGGGATAGAAGCGGGTTAAGCGTCAGCCAGGCATAGTGGTTAAGAGCTACGACTGCTAACCAAAAGATCGGCAGTTCAAATCCACTAGGCGCTCCTTGGAAACGCTATGGGGCAGCTCTACTGTGTCCTGTAGGGTCGCTGTGAGTTGGAATTGACTCGATGGCAACCAGTCTGGTTTTTTGGTTTAGTGGTGTCCTAAGTGAGGGCCTGAGAGCCTGGGCTTGGCCACAGTTATTCCGAGGAGGATGCCTTTTCTGCTTATTTCAATGTTTATAGTTCTGCTCTAAAAACTCAAGAATTCTCAGCTGTGTTTAGATGGTAAAGCTCATGGAAGTTGTGGTGCTTACTTTCTCCGCCATGGGGAAGGTGCCCTTAATCTGGTTTTTAGTAAGACTATGCAAACACATCACATTAGCATTAAGAGTAAGTGTAGTCTGAGACTTAAAGTTGATCTATAACTGAGGGACAGGGTGATCTAAATCCTTGTTCCTAAAAGTGGTCCACAAACCAGAAGCATCTGTATCACCTGGGAGCTTGTCAGAAATGCCAACCTCAGGCCCGAGTCAGAATGTACACTTTAGTAAGACCCCCAAGGGATTCATATGCAGAGGGCAGTTTGAAAAGCACTGCCCTCAGATCATTCAGATAAAGAAGTAAGAGCTCTGAGAAAAATGGACTGACTGGGTGAGGAATAGTTTTACATGAAGAGAATGTGCATGTGTGTGTGTAGAACAGGGATCAAAAGACCTGGTTTGAAACCAGCTCCCTGCAGGATTTGCTGATTCTCTGTCTCCAGCTTAGACTGGAGTGTGCACACGGCACCCGTGTGACTCCACTGTCACCATGCCACGCTGACCCGGCCCAGCAAGAGTGTGGAGTAAATGAATTCACTTCCAGTGGCACATGGCCATTTCAGCCACACTTCACAAACCACCGACCGCCCCCACTCCCCAGGTGTTGTTGATAACTACTAAGAGATGAGGGTGTCTTCACATTAGTATGCCTCTTTCTAAAAATGCCTGAAGGTCACAATGACAGAAATCCTTTCATGGAATATCTGGGCTAATAAAAAAAAACAAAAAACCAAACAAATCCCAAACAAAACAAAAACCCCAATACCATTCCTAAATCCTTTTAGTTGTAGAATTCATACACATTCAAGAGATTTCACAATGCTAAATTCCATTCTTTTATTTCTTCATACCACATTTTAGTTTATCTGTTTTTTTACAACCTGATTTATACAAGCAAACTGCAAATGAAAAACAGGCATTCTTTAATCCTCCAAAATGCATCTATGAAATATAGCACAAACCCTAGAATTTAAACATAAACAGGTTTACCTGAAGCAGCTTTATTGCAATCTCTTAAAATTAGCATTATAGTTTAAATATTTATGCCTGTAAAAGTCTGCATAATCTACAATACATTGTTATTTCAGAAGCAGTTGAGTTTTAACTAATTGGGACCAAAGAAAAAAAAAAGACCTCGACACAAAGTTATGACAACAATTATTTGGAACTTATTTACAATTAAACATTTAGGGTCCTGATTCGGAAAACTTAGTGCATTTCATGATTTATTTATGAGTTTTACAGAGAAGTAAGCAGTATACAGAATACCCCCCAGGTAAAATTCGAAGTTAATGGCTTTTAGAAGAAAGTCTGTCAATATGCTTACTGGAAACTGAGGAAAAAGTAACAAAACTTCAGCAACTGCATTTATTTTGCAAATTTAAGTATACAGCAGCAATCAGAATAAACGGGCCACAACAGAAGAGCTGATGTCTTTTTTTTGACATACTTTTGGTATGTACAGCAAGAAAAAAAGATTCTTTTCAATAATCAATACATGTGAATTCAACTCCTACAGAGTTGTCTTTAGACCTAATGCCTGAATCAGCAAATTTAAACAAAAAGACAGAGGAAAGTATCTTTTATAACAACCATCAGTTCACTGGGTTTTATTTAGTGGTAAAAGCTTGGGGCAGGGTGACCAAGTGGCTAGCTATTCCCACTGTAGAAAGAAACATCATAGATAAGGTGGTAGAAATCCAAGATTATCCTTGAAGCACTTTAATGGATTCAAGTGATTTTATGTACATAACAAAAAAGATGACTTAAAGAAAAATTAAATGAGAAACTTTTTAAAGTGAAGTGGTAAATTTCAGTGAATCAGGTCCCAGGTAGGTTTTTAGAAGAACAAAAATTTACAGTAAACATTTAAGCTCTGGAATGCCAGTACAGTACAGTGACCAGTGCATTTACAAAACTGCTTAGACAGCAGTTCCTTCAGGGTAAGATTTAAAAAATGTACAAGCCAGTTCACAATGCTTTTAGATACAATGTTATTAAAATACATTGTTAATCATAAAAATACTTTACTATGTACATGTATACTGTATAAACTCTAGATTTACCTACTGAAGGAAGCCTCTAAATCAGTTTCCAGCCCACTGTCCCAGGACAGTGCAGTGCTATTATTTGGTCTTCATACTGCACACCATGGGCTGAGGGAGAGTCATGGTACTGGCACAACATAGTAAGGTATTTTTCTCTCTGCAGAATGTCTAGTTGGAAGAGTCAGTTTTACTTCTGCTATATTTTACTTTCCTAAATGAAGATCCAAGTAACTCTGGGCACTCACATAATTCATTTGCAATTTGGTTACACTTCAAAATAAGGCTATAGTTTATTTTATCAGTTATGACACTGTCTTGCTTGTAGTCAGGATGGTTTGTGATAAATTCCCTCATCCATCTGGCAACTGTCATTAGTTCTCCTGGGGAAAGAAAAAAAAAAATTTAGGACCACGTAAGTTAACAAAAGTTTGTTTGTTTTAAATAAGTTGACATTTAGTGGCCAGCATAAACACAATTCCAAACAAAAATCAGTATGACCTTTTAGTGTAGCCACATGGCAGGGTTTGAGAACGAGTCTTCCACAGTATTTAAAGAATTCTTCCTGGGGAAGAATGTCAGGCTGCAGGCAGGCAATTAGAACATGTACACCCAGTTGCTATGATACCTGGGGTTAGATGCTACCACACGCTGACACTGCCAGCTCTTAAGAGGCAGGAGCTGGCACATGTGTACAAGAGCACACGCACTCCCATTTGGCCAGAGCTCTAATGCAGACGACATAAGCTGGTGTGGTGAGACTGCCTCAGAGGGCTGTAGGGTCCTGAGTTCCAGAGTGATCTTGATCAAGCAGGTGGACAGAATACAGAAGGGAAGTTAAGAGTGAATAAAGAGGGAAACTGGCAAATACACCATTTGGAACGTGATGGGTCTACAGTTATCCTTTGTGACTCCAGGAAGTTTAACAAGCATCAAGTGAAATACAGATGCCATTATCATTACAATTATTTTCATTAACAGCGAACAGTTACCCTGTGCATGTACTGTGTTAGATGCTATGTCATCTCAAAACTCACAAAGAAAGGGGATTTTTATTTAGTTCGTTCACTGTGTGAGGAAGGGAGACTAAAGAACAGAACATCTTAGGTCTGCAGCTTACTTAACCTACAAAATTACTTAACCCTATTTAAAAAAGCCCAAGATGATACACAATGAACACAGGTGAACATAAATGACAGGCTATCCAGATGTTAGATTTCATTGTCTAAGATTCCGTCAATTATAAGATGCACCACTATTTTATAAGCCAGTAAGAAAAAACAAAAAAAGCCCTGCTAATTAAACTGTGACTATCAAAGATTGTAAGGTGTATCCAATTGCACAGAAACGTTAAAATGTGAAAAAACATGCATTAATAAAATACAGTATACTTGAAAAGACTAAGAAACTGAGTATCGTGAGATTGAGATTCCACCTACAACATGAGATTTAAAAAAAAAAAAAGGATACCATACCAGATGCTCTCTTCTTAATGAGCTTTAGGTAGTTTAGAATACTACATCTGGTGTCCACATCCACTTCCATATTTTCAAGGTAAGAGTTCAGAATTGGGATCAGCCCAGGAAACACACCTTCCTACAAGAAGTGGGACACATTATTAACTTCCTGCCAGTTGGCGTGAACCGGAGATAAGCTGGACAGGCTCCTACCTTCCCGTTGATGATGGTGTCTATGCTCATTAAAGTGTACTCCTCGGGGGCAAGCTCAGCGCTGTTCTGGGCCTTGCCATACCCGTCCACCATAGCATTGCCACCTGCCGCAGGAGAAGGGAGAGAAGCCTTAGCGGCTTGTAGCATAAACTGACCCCAGAAATCCAAGAGAATGTAATACCTTTGCAAATGTCTTTCCTGAAATAAAACATTCCCTGCAGGACAGCATCTCGTTTCTGTGCCACTTTCATGTTTTCATCCACCTAAGGGAGAAAAATAATCACAGCTATGTCAACACATTCTTGACCAAACACAGAAGTTGTAGTGCCTTTCTCCTGCAGACCGGATTCCTTTAAGGATTCTACTTTCCCCTCCAATGCTTTCTGGTTGGAAGGACGACTTAGCTTTTATGTGGGGTCTGTGTCACTCAACCATGGACCAGTATATACTTTTAATAAACTCTGGAGGAATTCTAAGAGAAGCTTACTTTAACAAACAACAAAAGCTTACATTTGTATAGAGTATCTGCATTTCAAAGCACTCTGGTGACTGAACCTTGCAATGAGTCCATGGTATTCAGAGGGAAGGTGGTGTCCCTTTACACAGCATGGTGACTCACCAAAGATCCAGTGGTAATAAGCCACACAGCAGGGCCAGAACCCAGTTCTCCTGACTTCTAGATCAGTGCTCTTCTCACCATGCCACTGGGGTTTCACTGCCTCACTTTGGTGAGGAAAGGGGAAGAGTCAACAGGCTGCTAGACAGGAATAAGGTTCATGGATGGGTGTGGCAGGGCCCTTGGTCCTCCAAGGACAGAGGGTCACCAAGCTGGCATTTGCCTGCATGGTGGCTCTGGCCACGTCGACTGGGGAAAAGCCCTCATTCATGAGCCTGACCAACTGAGAAATTTGTCCTCTTTTGTCAATTCTTCATTTTTCCAATGAACTTTTAAGATCCTCACAGTAGAGCTTTTAAACTTTTTTTTTTTTGGTAGTAATCCCCTACTTTCTATAATAAAATCTTAGGTGGAACCTCAAGATATAAAACATACATGTTTGAGATTCAGGTTGAAGTGAGATGTGTAATACAAAGTCTTTGATACTTAGCCTTCGCCCATTCTCATTAATTGTTGTCATTGTTTATTTTTTTAAAGATACTTATAAATAATCTAGATACTTTTAGGAGTATACTCAAATAATAGTCTAAAATTCCACCATGGCTGTGAACACCTTTGTTTTCATTTCTAATAGCATTTGTTTTTCTTAGCTATGCCAAAATTTCTTTTATAAACTCCTTTTAGAAAGTGCATTTTATTATTGCTCTTTAGATTCTCAAAGAGCATATTTTACTATTTAGGTTCACTTATTTTCAATCTTTGTTTTTTAATAAAAACATTTAAAGCTATGATTTTTCCTTAAAGAATAGCTTTGCCAAAATCCCACTGCCTTTTGCTTTTCCTATACAGTCTGTAATTGTAGTTTTTAACTTACTCTTTAATGTAAAACCTATTTGGTAAAAAATTTTTAATTCCCAAGTGTTATATTTCTCTTAAACACCTTTCTGTTGCATTTTGGTGGGAAGGTGACCTGTTATGATGTCTACTTTTAAGAACTGAAGATTTTCCTTAATTTTTGTCAATCTTCCTTTTGTGAAAAGACATGCTGTGGCATGAGATTTGATATACACAGTCCATGCTCTTTATTCATGGTAATTATGTTCCATAAAGTCCCTGTGAATGCTTCCCGTGGACAATGAATTAGCAAATACCAAACCAGCCATGTTTGACCTCAGCTGGAACGTGTGTATCAGGGAAGCTCAAATTTTTCAAATGTTTCACTGCTCTGTACAGGTACATGTCCACAAATTGATCAGGAAAATGCAGCAGGTACTAATTTGGAGGTTGCAAATGCGTTTTACCAAGTAGGCAAACATCTGTAAATAATGGGGCTTGACCAGAGCTACACAAGCAAGCTTATTAACCATGTCATTTAATTTCCCTATGCCCTTTCTTATTCTTTGCTTATATGACCTGTCAGTTGCTGAATAAGGTGGCAGGTACTCTAAGTGATTTACCTCTATTAATCCCACATGGCCTCAAAACAACTCACTTATCTCCATCCTACACAAAGAAACTAAGACACTGAAAAGATAAGGAACTCACCCTTAGGTTAAAAAGCTATTAGCACTACAACTGACTTATGAATTTAGGTCTCACACTAAAGCCATATCTTAACCACCATACTACACTGCCTTTAAACATTTCTTATGCATCTAAAAAGTTTTTGCCATGCTTTTCTGGTACTAAAAGAACAACGGCGCTAACACCTTGAAAGAATATATGAAATTTCTTTCTCCTCCCCATTTAACATTTCTACCTCACATTTTATTTTGTCTGATATTTGTCATTCTTGTATCTTTTTTTTTTTTTTTTAAAGATCATTATATAGCTCTTTATTTTGAACACTGGTCCTTGTTTTAGCATGTCTTGTGTAAACAACATATACTATAATGTTGCCATTTTATACAATCTGTTTTTACTCTTTAATAGGAGAGTTTAGTCTATTCAAACCTGTCTCATCTTATTTTCACCATTTTACGTTCTGTGGATTATATGTTTTGCCAATTGCCCCACACCCTCGCTCCTTTCATCACAGAAAAGTTTTCTTGGTTCCTTTTCCCACTCTTCTTAGCCAGCAGTTTAGAATCAATCCCATTTCTATTCTATTGGTAATTTCCCTATCTTTCTCTAAAGAGCAATTCTCCATGCTTCAGTTTTTTCATAATTTCCATTTCTTTGCCATCCTGCTTTCCATTCTGGAAGAATCTCGGTTTGGTTTCTTAAATCACTAACTTTGATCTTAAACACCTGCTCTACTGCTGAGTGTTTAAAAAAAAAAAAACCACTTGCTGTCGAATTGACATGTGTGTCAGAGTAGGACTATGCTTCACAGGGTTTTCAATGGCTGATTTTTTGGAAGCAGATCACCATGTGAGTATATTGTTTTAGAAGTGCAGCTACCATGTCCTTCATTTCTAAGAACTCCTATTCTACAAATGCTCTTTGGTACATAAAAAACCAAAAACCAAACCCGTTGCCATCAAGTCGATTCCGACTCATAGTGACTCTATAAGACAGAGTAGAGCTGCCCCACAGGGTTGCAGCTGGCAGCTTCGAAGTGCTGACCTTTTGGTTAGCAGACAAGCTCCTAACCACTGCACCACACCAGGGTACATAGTCAAAACCAAACCCACTGCTGGCGAGTCGACTCCGACTCATAGCGGACCCTACAGGACAGAGTATAACTGCCCCATAGGGCTTCCAAGGAGCGGCTGGTGGATTTGAACTGTCAACCTTTCGGTTAGCAGCCTGAGCTCTTAACCACTGTGCCACCAGGGCTCCACACCAGGGTACACAGTGCTTCTTTATTTTATAGATGTGATCTTTCTCTAGAATTTCTTAAAGGGTACTAGTTAGAATTTCTTTAAGAATTCTTTCTGGTTTCTTGAATTGTGTTTCTGAGGATCATCTACTCTGCAGGCCCAGATGAGTCCTTCTCTTTGAGGTTGTTATTCTCATAATCTGTTGACTTTCAGACATCTAATCATACTTATGAACAAAGGCTTAGACTGGTAGCTTACATGGACTCTCCCTTACGTGGGTTTGATCTCCCAGCAGGTATTCCCATAAGGGCACATAAGCCCACAGAATTCTACAGGTAAGCTTTGCCCTGGGTGTGATGAGCAGTCAGGCAGGAATAGGCTGATAGGTGGACTTCCTTCAGGTGGTGGGTGCGGCAGGTACAGGATGGCAAATTGCCTCATAGAGGGAGCAGGGACCAAGGTATCCTGGGGGAGGTGCTGGGCTAAGCATGTTTATTCTTCCTCCCATGTTTGCTGTCACAGGGCTGCAGGGCGGCTTTACTTTCTCTAACATTCACCCTCTGGGCAGACCCCTGACTTTGTCTAGCAGTTTTTCTCAAATACTTTCTGTGCCAAGAGGACCACTGGCCCAGGAACCAAAAGCCCCCACTGACTCAGCCTACTGCCCTGGGGCCCACAGCTTTGCCTCCTCAACCTGGAGTTTTTCCAAGGTTGCTGGGAAAATGGCCCCAGAAAGTTCCTTTTTTGGTCTTTGTTGGGCTGGGGGTTGATGAACTCCAATTTGTTTTTCTGATAGTCCAGTATCATTTATATTATCTGGAAACAACTCAAATTTCCATTGAGGAGAGCTTTCCCTGCATCCTAGCAGTTACAACCCTGCCTCCCCCAATTTTAATACTGTAATCACAACAGGATTTTTGGGTAGGTGAAATCAATTTGTGGGACTCACTCTAGTCATCACCTTTAACAGAAAGCCTCTAGAAATACGCAGTTTTTCAAATTCAAGCCTAAATCTCTTTTGAATGGGCTGACTAAATAAAGATCTACCATTAGCACTGCCCTGGCCCCCCAAGTCTCCACCAATGTAGTATCAAATTCTACAGCATAAGCTTAGATATGAAGGAAAAAAGAATAGGGTGGAGGAAGAAGAAGTATTTTATTCTCTAAAGAGTGAACAATTTTAAATGAAGTCATATTTGGAATAAATATTATATATAAATGAGCAAATACAGATATTTATATCCCCCATTATAATGAAACACATTCTTACCTTTGAGAGTGGAATGAGAAAATCCAACTTGTATGAAAGGATCACTCTGGTAAGGAGTACCACAAACACCACATATGCAGAGTTCTCAAAGTCTGTTAACTGAACCTAGACAGGCAAAAGCCCAGAGAAGTTATGGACCAACCACCCATGATGTGCTCTTCCCTGACCCAGAGCCCTCAGCTCATGTCATTCCCAGGCCATCTCTGAGTCATTCCCACTCTGAGTCTGGAAGTTCTTTGCCCTCAATCTCTTCTCAGAAGTCAATCCTACATAGCTTCCAGACTTGCTTTTAACATACATTGACTTGCTTTTCACTGCCTCACAATAAATTTAAGAGCCTTCTGATGAGAGTATCAGAAGGATGATAAGTAGAGGAAGGGTTCTTCTGGGTCAGCTCCTGCCGGGGCCTGTGTCTTACCTCCATGGGCCGAAATTCTACTCTCCATCCGATATCTGAGTTTGGAGGAGGGGGCTTAAATCTCATCGTCTGCCAATTTGTGGACTGAATATTCTGTAATAAAAAAGCAGAGAATAAAATCAATTTTCCACACCTCAGGAAATATTAAGATGGTCTGGTATTTAATTAGGAAAGACTGTTCACTGTTCATATCAAATACTCTTTAATTTAAAAACACAAAAAGATACAATTTAAGATTTTCCTGAAGCCTGACTTGCTAGGAAAACAAGACAGCAAGTTTTTAACAAAAGTCAGGTGATACATCTGCAACACTGAAATAACTGATAATGTTATTTTGTTCAGCACGTTTGATTTTTTCACCACTATGCAAACAAGAGAAAGTACTAAACAAAAACATTTAGAATCTGAGAGAGAACCTGTAAGAATCATAAAACAAGGGTACTGGAAAGCAATTTTAAATTTTTCTTCGTCATTTACTACACTGGGTAATGAAAGCCATCTGAGATTTCTACTGCCATGAATTCATCATGTCTCTAGGTTTACAAAGTGAAATGCATTTAAGACAGAGGAGATACCTCAAAATGATCAGACTCATTGGCATCATCAAGATGTATTTTCTCCTCAAACAGAGTCAGTGGGTCTCTAATAAAGAGATGAGCAACATGCTGGGCCAGGAGACGGTCAATGCCTGCAAAGACAGATTACATGAGACTCACTTCAAAGCATGAGATGCCACTGTTTAAGAGGCCCAGTAAGAAGACAGGACAGCTCAGGACGGTTGAAGAAGGCGTATCTAGACACTTAGGAAACAGCTGGTTTGTTCAGTATTTTCACCTTGCCCAGGATTTTATCCTATGGACACTGGGAAATGTTACAATTTTATTCACTACTTACACAATGCCTGCTGGGGCACTGGTGTGGACCTAGATACAGACCTCCAAAGTAAGTTCCTTTTGCTAAAAGTCAAGAAAATCTCACAAGCATCTGGAACTTGAAACTTTAGGAACAAGCAGCCTCATTAGAAAAGTTAGAGACTTCACACTAAAAACAGAAACCAGACCAAGAGTCAGCAAAAAAGTTTAAAAGCTTTGAAGAACTAAAGGCATACAACCAAATCTAGAAAGAAGGGTTGGACACTCACCTTCCTGCAAAAGTTGTTCGTAGATTTCTTTATCTATTGTCAAGTTGATATCATTGTATTTCTCACCACACTCAGATAAGTAACTGTCTATTGAATCATAACGGGATTTACTGATCCTATAGTTATTGTTCTTAAGTGGCTAGAATTGGGAAAAAAAAAAAGAAAAAGAATAAATCCCATATAAAGTGATCTGGAAATAAACTAATGCCCCAAATAATTATATTAACATGCTATAAACTTTTATATATAATAATTATGGAAAAATGTCCAACCTTAACATAAGATACTGATTATGCTACGAAAATAAACGGCAAAGTTGAAAGCAAAAATAAACCTATAATGTAAAACAAAGTCTCAGAATGATTTATCTTTTAAAGTTTATTTCTATTTAGAAAGCACATTTGGCAGCTTATGAACAATTACATAAAGACCAGCACAATAGTACAGCCCTGGCTGGCAACAAATAATGTGGGGGCTCCTTTAAAAACACCTATGCCCAGGTCCCATTCATGGAGATACTAGATGGTGCCTGAGGATCTGTTTTTAAAGATCTCCACAGGTGTTTCAGACACACCTTGGGTGGAGAGATGTAAAATACTTCAACATGCAAGCAATGAGAGGTACTAACCAACCCTTATCAGGTAGAACCTACTCCTATATATGGGTAAAAGGATCTTTGACAATAGATTACATTTTCTGTAGCAAAAAGCATCATATACAAAATGCTCAAGTAATGCCAAAAAAGCCTCCTGGTAAAAACAGCCATCAGCACTGACTTCCAAAATATAGAAAAATGGCACTACTAATTACAGAAGAAGCTAAAACAAGTACAGATTTCAACAAGTGGTAAGAAATAACGCCCCACCCCAACCAAATCACATTTCCCACGAATTCACACCAAAACAAACGCTATGAAGCTAAAGACCAGAAACAAAAACAGGTTTATAACTTGTGAGCTTCTTCCCATCTGACTAACCCACTTGATAAAACTTTAAAGGAGACTTCAAAATTGCAAGTAGTTACAATAACCCCATTTTACCTGCTGGATTTAAAAAGGCTAGTAAGGAGAAATCATCCCACCTCCAGTCCTCTCTCCTCCCGAGTTCTATCATCTACAGATGCAGAAATCACTCCCCAGCGACAATCAATGTCTGACACATAGCCTCGGTAAAATGGAGACGCAGCACTCAAAGCCATCTAAAAACAAACAAAAGTCAGCGCCTGCAGGTTCAAAGTGTGACTTCCATGCAGTTATCCTTCTGGTCAAAAAAAGATCAGAGTTTATGCAACCCATACAGAGTTGTAACATTACATCTTCTACCGGAGCCTACACTACACGAGAAACTACCCAAATGCTTAGATTTGATTTACCCAGATCATCTTCTATAATGTGAGGACATGAAGGATGAGATAGGGAAAAGAGCCAAATTCAAACTAGACATTTAACAAATGTTTTACTAGTAATGGTAAACTTTCACAGCGAGAACTCTTACTTCATTAGCTCTGAATCTGCATACTATTTGCTGGTTCATTTTCGATGAAGTCTTCACCAAACTTAAAACAGCATATCACAAATTTTCTGCACGTGTGGTGTTTATTTTATACTAAGTATCTGAAATAAGATGTAACTTTTACTTACAACAATTGGACAGATTGTAGCCAACTGATCATACAGGTATCTGGCTTCAGATATGCTGCAGGCTTGGAATGTCACCTGTTTAAGAATTATTTAAGTTATTAACAACCACCACCACCACAACAACAGTCATGAGCATCCTTCCTACGCAGTGAGGTCTGAGAAGGAAGATGGCGGAACAGCAGGGAAAGACGTGTGGTGACTTTCTTAACAGTGACATTTAATACAAGAGCCTTATTTAAAAACTGTCTTGGCTGAACCTAGCTAGAAAATGGTATTTAATCATATTCCAATATATACAGACGACTAACACAAACAACCATTTCCATCTAAGTTAAACAAGATTAAGAAGTCAGGAAGGGAAAACAAGACACACAACAAACGGTGAAGTTCAGCAAGGTATTTCCTCTTCTACTGGCTTACTTCCTTGTACAGCTTCCCACTTTTAATTCAGTTAGCTGAAGGGCTATACAGATTTTGGTACAAAAGGGATCAGAGAAAGCTAATGGTGGGTTTCAGGAAGTTCACCTGTGGCAGTATAGGGACTAGCTTGGAAGGGAGCGACACTGAACGATGGAAAAAGTTGAGGCGGGCTGGTGGGAAGAGGCATCCAGAGTCAAAGCAGCAAACTTAGGTGACCAGTAGGTTATGGACAGTGAGGGGATGACTCAGGTTTTGGCTGGGATGTTCTAGAACATATAGGAAGAAGAGGTTTGAGAAAAAGAGGTGCCATGACATGTTGGGCTTATGAAACCAGGGAATAAACGAAAAAGTCCTGTGAGAGATTGGGTTTCCAGTCCTGGAGAACTGGTGCCCAGAAAAAAAAAATCAGAGCTGAAGAAATACTTGGGGAGCAGATGGTATCCTGAAGATGAGGAGATTTCCCAGGAAGCATACGCAAGAGGGGCAACTACAACACTTTAAGAGTTAGACAGAGAAAAAGATCACCTAGGTGATCAGCACAAATCCTCTAAAACAATCACCTAAAAGAAAGCAAAAAGAAAGGCCTGACCTCTGGGGAGTGAGAAAGGAGCAAGAGCATAAATTGTGTTTGTGTTAGCATGTCTGTAATATAAACTTTAAAGTGGGAACAGTTTTAATGTCTTCTTTTATTGGTACTCAATCATGATAGTTTGAATTTAGTTGTCTGTGCAAGAAAAAATTTAAGTGTTTTTAAGACTTGAAATAATATGAGTTGAATATGGTCTCAACTTTGCTTTTTAACAGCAGACAACTCCTACTGAAGACTTACAAGTTTACCTGCTGAATTATAATTGCACTTCATGTCAATGTTGTGACTAAATATTAAAAAAAATTAGAAAGTTTAATATTCTGATCTTTCTATAATTTCCATTTTAATGCTTAAGTCAGCATGAGATTTTAATTAAAATGTAATGACACTTAAGTAGCCGTTAGAAATGAATTCAACATGGAGCTGAGCTGTGGCACAGACATCAAGGGAAAAGAGCCTCTAAGGTTAAAATACATAAAGATTGAGAGGGATTGGCAATTTGGTGATAACTAAAGGAAAGAGGTGGGGACTCAAAAATTAGTCTGTGGATGGTTAAGGATTAAACAGCAAGCAAGGAAACAGAGATGTTGTTGTTGTTAGGTGCTGTTGAGTTGGTTTCCGACTCATAGCGACCCTATGCACAACAGAACAAAACACTGCCTGGTCCTACACCATCCTCACAATTGTTGCTATGTTTGAGCCCACTGTTGCAGCCACTGTGTCAACCCATCTCATTGAGGATCTTCGTCTTTTTCTGCTGACCCTCTATTGTACCAAGCATGATGTCCTTCTCCAGGGATTGGTCCTTCCTGACAACATGTCCAAAGTATGTGAGAAGTAGTTTTGTCATCCTTGCTTCTAAGGAGCATTCTGGCTGTACTTCTTCCAAGACAGATTTTTGTTCGTTCTTTTGGCAGTCAATGGTATATTCAACATTCTTCACCAACATCATAAACCAAATGCATCAATTCTTCTTTGGTCTTCCTTATTCCTTGTCCAGCTTTCGAATGCATACGAAGTGACTGAAAATACTTCCGCTTGGGTCAGGCATGCCTTAGTCCTCAAGGTGACATCTTTGATTTTTAACACTTTAAAGAGGTCTTTTGCAGCAGATTTGCCCAATACAATATGTCATTTGATTTCCTCGACAACTTCAATCTTTTCTTTGTTTATCATGATGTCACTTATTGGTCCAGTTGTGAGGATTTCTGTTCTGTTTTATGTTGAGGTGTAATCTGTACTGAAGGCTGTGGTCTTTGATCTTCATCAGTAAGTGCTTCAAGTCCTCTTCACTTTCAGCAAACAAGGTTGTATCATCTTCATATCACAGGTTGTTAATGAGTCTTCCTCCAATTCTGATGTCACGTTCTTTTTCATATAGTCCAGCTTCTTGGATTATCTGCTCAGCATACAGATTGAGTAAATATGGTGAAAGGATACAATCCTGATGCACACCTTTCCTGATTTTAAACCATGCAGTATCCCCTTGTTTTGTTCAAGCAACTGCCTCTTGGTCCATGTACAGGTTCCACATGAACACAATTAAGTGTTCTGGAATTCCCATTCTTTGCAACGTTATCCATAATTTGTTATGATCCACACAGCTGAATGCCTTTGCACAGACAATAAAACAGGTAAACATCTTTCTGGAATTTTCTGCTTTCAGCCAAGATCCACTGGACATCAGCAATGATATTCCTGGTTCCATGTCCTCTTATGAATCCAGCTTCATATAAGTATATAGAGATTACCAAATCAGATAGGACATCACTATAGATAATGGCCTTGGGGAGGAAAAAAAAAAGTTCCTACACCTTAAAAAGGTATGAACACATAAACAATTTTGGCTTCTGGTATCCTTTTAGAGCATCATATAAGACGAGAAGCAGTGTCACCAGGAAACTGATGAGAGGTTAAAAAAAAATCTTGAAAAATAGATGTGAGAAACCTAAACCTAAATTAAAATTTTCCTAGAACCCAGTTTTAAAGCCACATGATTTTCTTGGGGAGCAATAAATCGTATCATAACATGTTACAAACTTGCTGCTTATTAAATGATTCCTGAAAAGCCCCAAAAGAGTCAAGAATATGAATGTGGTTAGCTTTTTACTTTGTACTCTTAAGTCTTCTATTAACAATACAAATTACTTTAAAACTATTTTTTTCTGCTTTACTGATAAGCAGTTTCTAGGGGCCCATTTAAAAGACAAAGCTGGGATTTCTGCGGTGACTTGTAGAATTCATCTCATTTTCCAGTATCTGTACTAACTATACTGTAGAATACTGAAACTGGAGTGCTGGACACACCCTTGAGAAAAGGCAAACTTAACTCTAAGGCATGACGAAGTTTAACTTGCATGGAAAATTCTATCTACAGACAATAAAAATGTTTATACCCACCATCAGGACACATTTGTTTATATAAATACAGTATTTCAAGGGAAAGAATATTCTACTGGAACTCTATTAGAGCAGCAGTTTAATATTAAACCAAAAAAAGGCAATCGGTTCTCAAACAGCGCTGATACTATTTTAGAGCTATGCACTGTTTAAGTCCTAGAGCTTCATGGTTCTCTTTAGAATATCTGTAATTAAGACAGGAAAGCAGACATACAGTTAAAAGTCAAAAGGTCTCTTTTTTTTATCAAGTGTGACCATCTGGAAGGAAACTCACTGGCTTATGTTCGTTTGGAAGACACGTATTTGATATTACCTAAGTCATGAAAAGCAGGAAAAAAATTATCCATGGCCATGTTATTTAAACATATTTAGTGTGGAAAAACCTGACTCTGGCACTGACTTTTGGTTACATAGTTTTAAAAATAAACAGACCCAAGACATATGCGCAAGATGGTGTGTGTACATGCTGTAGCTGTTCGAGGATGGGAGTGCTGGGGTTCTTGGCCTTTGTGTTGACAGCGATCAGGCCAGAGGCCCAGAGGGGCCTTACCTGGTGCATCAGGCTCTTACTGCTCCAGGCCTCTAAAGACACTGTTTCTAATCAGCCTTGGTAATTAAAACTGAACAAAAGTCTCCTTGGGCAATAACAAGTAGCTTTTTTTTTTTTTTTTTGGCTAAGTCTCCTTTTAGTTTATGAATTTCATTTACCCTTGTGTTAAAGGTTGAACTGTGTCCCCAAAAAATATGTGTGTGTCAACTTGACTAGGCCATGATTTCCAGTATTGTATGGCTGTCCTCCATTTTGGGATCTGATGTGATTTTCCTGTGGTTGCAAATCCTAACCTCTATGATGTTAATGAAGTAGGATTAGAGGCAGTTACGTTAATTAGGCAGGATACAATCTATAGGATTAGGCTGTATCTTGAGTCAATCTCTTTTGAGATATAAAAGAATCCAGCAGACAGGAGGGACCTCATTACCACAAAGCACGAAGAGCCAGAGATGGAGTGTGTTCTTTGGGCCCAGGGTCCCTATGCTAAGAAACTCCTAGGCCAGGGGAAGACTGATGACAACGATCTTCCCCTAGAGCCGACAGAAAGAGAAAGCATTCCCCTGGAGCTGGCGGCCTGAATTCGGACTTCTAGCCTCCTAACTGTGAGAAAATTAAAGCCATGCACTTGTGGTATTTGTTATAGCAGCACTACATAACTAAGACACCTTCCATGAACACTTACATGAAAATTTATATTTTGTGCAACTCCTTCCACTCCTAACATGATTTTCATCAAATTAAGGGTGAAAACAAGTGCTTCTGTTAATAAGAGCAATGAAACAAAATATTAGCTTAGGGTCAGATCTAGAAGGGATCATAAACGTAAACTCTTTTTTTAACTGGTGAGAAAACGAGGCCTAAAGAAGTGAGGGGAGTTGTCCAAATACCTCAGTAGTGACAGAGAACCCAAACCAGAATGCAGGCTGTGCCCCCTGCCTGACGGACTCCATGCTCCCCCAATTTAGGCCTTAAGTGAATTTGGGTATAATCACTGCCTGAAGCCAGCCTGCTCAGAGACACCAGTAATTTAATCCGATGAAGGAAAATTGTTAAGCATGTAAATAGAAAAAAGCCATTCTACCTCCTGTGTAACCTAGCCAGTGGCAAGGCAAACATGGGCTGCTAAATATTTATTTTTTATGCCACTAGATGGCCTTGCATGAATGTAAAAGTTTATAGTCCAAATAATCCTACCCTTGGATCACAAAATCATTGGAGTACATCCATCAGAGCTCATTTCCAGAAATAATAAGAGAGTTGAGTGATGTTTACAACTTCAAAGCTAGACTGTCGTTGGATGGCATTAAAAATTAAGCATGCAGAAAACAGAAAAGAGACCACAGAACAGTGCACATTTTACGCTAACAGCTATAAACTTTTCTGGTGAACTGTAGATTCTGTAAAATTCTCAGTCAAGAGATAGCTTCCAATAAATTTATTAAAATAACTCCACTGATTTTTAGAAAGGTAAACTAGGTACCATTTTCAACCTGATTTAAATATGACTTTCTAAAAAAGAAACATGTATATGTATATAAAGAAAAGTCCGCAAATAGAAACATGTAAGAACACTTTGTCTCCCTGTATATTGGAAACAATACCTGAAGACAGCAATTGCCCATCCCAAATCCCATGGCATCCATGTAAATATGATCGGGCTTAGAAGCCCTTGCTGCCTCATCATCCTCAGGAAATGCTTCGATAAATGGAGATGGTGTATTCTTGTCCTTAAATACTGTATTATTTAAAAAGAAAAAGGAAATGGTTGAGAGTCAAGCATTAAATGGCTCAATAAGAATCTATCCCACCTCCGCCACCTCACTGTAGACTTACTTGGTACATTGATGACAACTTTTTCTCCTCTCCTATGTCGGATATTTCTTGTTAGGGTACTAAAATAGATAACCAAATGTCATAAACTGGTCACCTAAGAATCATTGTGTAAAAGAAAAATTTAATCATATACAAGTAACTGGAATAAAATCCAGTTACCTCAAATTAATTCTCTAAGACAACCCTACAGAAAATACATGTATATCAAGATACTCTGAGGTAAGTTTTTCAAAGAAGGTGTTCCATTAATATCACTTCCTTGACTCTTGCTTAAGAATGTCATTCTCTCTCCTCCTCAAACACTGCTGACTTACTGAACGAACTTCAGGAGCCCAGGGTCTGTCATGGTCTGGGCTTCACTCCATGTTCTAACACCTCCCATGTTAACTCCAAAGACTTTAGTCAAACTTTAGCACTCATTTTTGCCCAACATCTGTGGAGCCCCAATGCCTCGTTCCTCTTCCCCACAACCTGCAGCATCCTCTAGACCTGCACTGCCCAATTTGGAAGCTACCAGCCACAATGTAGTTAGGTCCTAATTAAAATGTGTTCTAAGTATAAAAGACACACTAGAGTTTGAAGACTCAGTACAAACATAAAGTAAAATTTCCTATTGATAATTTTTAAATATTGATGACTTGTTGAAACAATACTATTTTGCACATATTGGGCTAAATAAAACACAGCATGAAAGCTAAAAGTTCCCCTGCTTTTTACCTTTTTTAATGTGGCTACTAGAAAATTTAAAATTCCATCTGTGGCTAGCATTATGTTTTCACTTGACAATGCTGATCTGGACTCAGCTTAAATGCCACTTCCCTCACGAAGCCTGCTGGAATCCCCTCAGTCAGAAGCACCCTCCTTTCTCTGTACAAGTACAGTGTCTGGCACTATCATCTTTTGACACTTGTCATAATCTATCATTTCTTGCAGCCGAATATCTTTATTTTCCCCTTAACACACTACATCATTCAAAGTTGGGAACTCTGTCTATAAACCTTTGACTCCCTAAAAAGACTACACATAGCAGGTGTGCATATACACTAAGGGACCGAAGACGGGGAAGTCCCAAGGTCCCTAACCTAGGTCAGGAGGCTAGGTTTAGGATGATAGGTGAGCACTCAATGTACAAAGCCAAGATTAGACTGGTTAAGGCCCTGAAGCAACTTAAAACCTAAGCATTAAACTACAAACCAACAGGCCTAGAAGTTAACAGAAGATAGAGAGTACCCACTATATACCAGGTGCTACACATATTTTACCTTATTATCAAGGTATACAGAGTAGGTGAGTATATTACAGATACTAGTGGTGATTTAGAGAAGGGAAAAATAAGGCAGGAATAACTAAGGGAAAGCTTGCCCACAGACAGGATACGTACAGAACTAGGACGAAAAAAATCTGCTCATTAAAGGGCAGGATACTAATGGCTTTACAATGACTTAGAAAATGGACAAGTCAAGCCTGTATGGAAAAAGCAACTACCAAGGAGCCTTGGGGTGCTAAGGATGTGAACAGGTTTAAGTCTGCTGTCTTCTCTGGCTAACTAGGAAAGAGCCAGAATGCAATAAATGCTCAAAACGAATTCCTGAAGGTCATGGAAGCTCCACAGACACATCCAAACTCCCTGAGGGACCTAATTGCTGGGTGGAGGGCTGTGGGAACCATGGTCTCAGGGAACATGTAGCTCAATTGGCATAACATAGTTTATAAAGAAAATGTTCTACATTCTACCTTGGTGAGTAGCGTCTGGGATCTTAAAAGCTTATGAGCAGCCATCTTAGATATTCCACTGGTCTCACCCCATTGGGAGCAAGGGAGAATGAAGAAAACAAGATACAAGTGAAAGATTAGTCCAAAGGACTAATGGACCACAACTGTCACGGCCTCCACCAGACTGAGTCCAGTACAACTAGATGGTGCCTGGCTACCACCACTGACTGCTCTGACAGGGATCACAACAGAGGGTTCTGGACAGAGCTGGAGAAGGATGTAGAGCATAATTCTAACTCATTAAAAAAAAAAACCAGATTTACTGGCCTGAAGGAGTCTGGGGAAACACCAAGAGTGTGGTTCCCAGACACCGTTTTAGCTCGGTAATGAAGTCACTCCCAAGGTTCACCTTTCAGCCAAAGATTAGACAACCCCATAAAACAAAACAAGACTAATGGGGCACAACAGCCCAGGGACAAGGACTAGAAGGCAGGAGGGGACAGGAAAGCTGGTAACAGGGAACCCAAGTTTGAGAAGGGAGTGTTGACATGTCATGGGGTTGTTAACCAATGTCATAAAAAACAATATGTGTATAATTTAATGAGAAAACTATGTGTTCTGTAAACCTTCATCTAAATTGAAATAATAAATTAAAAAAAAAAAAAAAAAAAAGGATTCCTGGACAAGAATACCACATTCCCCGAAGGCAAGGATCTGAAGGATCTGAGCGAGGGGTATCTACATCTAAACACAAAGCCATACTTACCTGAAGCGGGGATGCTTGTTAATTGCTTCATCTGGAAAGAAGAGGGACTTGGAAGCTCCTCCTTCCACCGGGTTGGGTTTATACTCAGGCAGTGTGAACCCAGGACAGCCTAATCTACAACAAATTGCAGAACTAAATAGATGGGATTTGTTTTCAGGAATTAATTGTCTCTCACCATCACTGCACATGTTAAGATACCTCATTTCTATTATTTCCCCTCAGAGGGTCTGTCACACAAATGTTTTGTAAATACTGCACCTTTTGCAACCACTCCCTTTGGACCTGTGATATCTTGCTCACCAAGACTCTCTAATTTTATCAGAAAGTGCCATTCACTCAGTATCTACTGAGCACTTACTACATCCTCCCTTTTCTTCAGGAGCTAACAGCACAGAAATTACTTGCCCTGATCACAGCAGTTGTCTCAGGTTATTGGTTTCCCTCTGCACAGCTTCTAAGGAGCTCTCCTTTACTAGCTCTAAATTCTTAGATTACCTTTGACCCCTGTACATCACCACTACTACCCCTGACTTCCTGATAGGCTTTATTAGAATCTGGAAACAATTAGAATTTGTTTCTGCAGGTCAACTCATAAAGTCCCTCAAGATTAAGTACTGTCTCTCCAGGTGACGCCTGAAACTCAACGCTGTTATCTTACTTGACCTAAAGAAGAGTTTTAATTTCAGCACAGAAAAATGAAGCTCCACAGTTACACCTAAATGTAAAAGTTCAAATTCTAGAGCACTTGCAATGATGTCACCAGTCCTTCCAAGTTAAGAATTTTAAATGTGCTGTGAGAGAGCACACAAACGAACTTAGTGAAAGCAAAAAACAAAAGAAGATCCTGCCAGTGTTTTAGATGGATGGTAGGAAACTTTTGGCTTCAAGGCCAAGACTAGCCCATGCCGAATTTTCAACCCTACCTTTTATAAAATAAAGTACTTGTTGTCAGCCCACACTGCTCTTGTAAATAACAACTGACTTTGCTGATCTTATCTGGGAAACAGTGCCTAGATACAACAAGGATTCCTGAGAACTCTTACAGTTAAGTGTATTATTTATTGTGAGTCAGCAGTCTTAGGAAAAGTTATCTAGGAGACTGCCAAGCTTAAATATGGGGGATTCCTAGCAAAATCAAATGAGAATGTGTTTTCTTGACAGAGAGAAGACAGAGTCAGAACTCGGGTCTTCAGACTCCTACAGCACTGCTTTTTGAGATTAGCGCCTTCCAGCAGACTTTCTCTAGGATGGAAATGTTTACCTGCACTGTCCAACACCAATACGGTGGCACTGAATACTTGAAATGGGGCTAGTGTGGTGAGGAAGTGAATTTTTAATTTTATGTAATTTTAATTAATTTAAATAGCCAGATGACTACTGTTTTTTGAGACAGTACAGTTTTAAGACTATAGAGTTTTGTCTTTTTACAGAGGGTAAAAGAAATCACCCTGTTTATACACTAAGATCCCAGAGCACTTCTTTCCCTCTTGATCCCGTAATAAACCTTTATCATTTACTATGATGTGAGGGGAGGCTTCTACCAACTATATTAACTAATAATTACTCTTCTTTTGTTTACAAGTTCAAAAATACCCTCCCATCCTCAAATATATGGGTGGGCTTTTTTTTAAGATCAGATTTTTAGATTAAAATTTATTTCCTTTCTCAACTCTTCCTTCATAATGTCTTAATCAAAAGAAGCTAGATCTTTAAATAAAGGCAACTTATTCCATATGGAGCCATTCTCAGTTAAGGTAAGAAGACACACTAAAAAACAGCTGCTGTTAAGTCAACTCCACCTCATGATGACCCATGTGTGTCAGAGTAGAACTGTGCTCCACAGGGTTTTCAATGGCTGGTTTCTCAGAAGATCATCAGGCCTTTCTTCCAAGAAGCCTCCAAGTGACACATTGTTTGTGGCCGTCAAGTTGGCCCTTGACTCATGGTGACCCCAGGCACAACAAACAGTTGAGCATCAGACCACTATGATTTATAGGGTTTTCACTGGCTCATTTTCAACAGATCGCTAGGCCTTTCTTCCTAGTCCATCTTAGTTTGGAAGCTCCACTGAAACCTATTCAGTATCACAGCAGCATGCAAATTACTACCAGCAGATGGGTGGTAGCTGTGCATGAGATGCGTTGGCTGGGAACTGAACCTGGGTCTCCTGCACGGAAGGCAAGAATTCTATCACTGAACCACCAATGACCCCAAGAGACACATTAGGTCTCACTAAATAGTTCCCTCTGTGGCCCAGAGAGGAAAAAACCCCCATCGCCCATCGATACTACACATTCTTGAATTTTAAAGTGTAAGATAAAACATTTCTGGTTACAAACCCGATATTTTTTAAAATTCGGTAAGTAAACTGTATAACTCTTTAACGCAGAAAAAAAGGGAAATGTGTAAGACTGAATTTTCCACTTCATTAAAAGCTGTCAAATAATAACCTGCAACCTACTTTTTGGCCTTGGCTGTAATATTCCAAGGTTTCCACAATAGTCACCTACACCAACAACCCTTGACATCTCTTTCCCTGAACCAAGTTTCCTGATTTTGTCTCTTAGACATCTTTTGATCAGCATCTACTTTTCTCTACTTCCACTGCCCCACCCTCCTCCAGCTACTATCATCCCTTCCTGAATCAACCTCCTTATTGGCCTCCTATTAAGTCCTGGCAGCCATTCCACAGTCACTTTCATACTGCAGCCCAGGTGAGGATTTCAAAATAACAATGTGATATTATCTACCCATCCAACATTCCAATGGCTTCCTACTGCTTTTAGGACAACAACTGATTACCTGCCCAGCCTCACCTTACCCTACCCTCCACCCTCATTCTCAGCATCCTAGTCATACCAGCCAGCTTTCTAAGTTCCCAGAAGGCTCCAGGTTCATCCTAGGACTTATCTATGTGTGCTGCTCCCTCTCCCTAGGATATTTTTCCTCTCCCCGCTCCTGATCACTGGATTAGACCACTGTGATCCACAGAGTTTTCATGGCTGATTTTCATTAGATTGCCAGGCCTTTCTTCATAGTCCATCTTAGTCTGGAAGCTCCACTGAAACCTGCTCAGTATCACAGCAGCACACAAATCACGACTCTTCAGCAGGTGAAATCTGATCTGCCAAAACACCACCACACGCCTATTAAACTTTGTCTAATACTTTGGACATCATTCCAATCATCCTTCCGCAACCCTCCAAAATCTCAGGTATCCTTGTTACACTCTCTTTACACCACATCTCTTTTTTACAGCACAGCCCCAACGTTATATTAGTTGGACTTGTGTGCATCTGATTAACCTTTCTCTCCTTCATTAGATCATAAGCTCTATGGAGGCAAACACAGTTTTCACTCATGACTGATCCCCAGAGATCACCTGGGTCTGGTGTGGAGCAGCTCAAGTATCTGAGTAAACGACAAAGAATCAAAGTTTTTTTTCCTCCTCCTTCAATCATTAATGCAAAAGAACAAGACAACTTTCTTTAAAGCAAACCTCTCCGCTCTCATCTGGCTTTTTTTTTTTTGCTTCTGGCAGGGAGAGAGGGGGTGGCCTGCACTAATGGAACAAAGAAATCACAGAAAATACGAGAAGCTTCTCTAAACACTTGATGAATAGCTTAAATATGGTAAACTATTTAGATGTTACAGTGGTGATTTAAAAAAATAAAATTCTCACAGTAAATATTCCTCTAAGACCAATGGTATGACTCTTGACTGCCCGTGTTCATTACAGACATTTATTGAGGGGGGAGGGTGGAAGGCATTAAAACAACAAAAACTAGTTCAAAGTGTTCTAGGCCATTGATACCACCCCAGGAAACTCTTTTGAACTCGAAGGGGTATGTATACTTATCACACAGATCTGACAGATACAGATAAACCAGATTTACAATTTGGCAGAACTGCATTCTTATGTAGAGTTTCTATGTATAATGCCTATAATATTTGCATACCTCATTTTAAGCCAAGAACATAATTTCACTATATTTACTTTTATGTAATTTCCATCTTAACTAGATTTAATAACATATCTTCAACTCTACATCTTCTGTTTAGCACGACATCCAAATATGATCTAACAACTCATCCTGTTCATAAGCTAATAGTATCAATAGTATATTGGGAACACTTATGCCAGCTCTTCAGCAGGTGAGCCTCCGATCTACCAAAACACCATCACATGCCAGTGGGCACACGATCCTTTTGAAAGTGAGGAAGAAACCCTTACCATCAAGTGAAGAGACACAGCTACTGCTTAGAGGGTCAGAAATGCTTGGCAGACATGCTACTCCCTGCCCCTCGACTGTGGCAAACACTGTGGTCAGACATCACGGTGTTTCCCATGAGCCCAGATAAGCGCTCTTACCACAGTGCTCAGGGCAGCCACAACCCCGCTACTGACTCTGGCACGGAATATTTGCCTGCCGGCCGGTGCTAAAGTTTTAGATGCTATCACATGCCACATAAAGTATGAACTGTCTGTAAAGTATGAGAATTGTAGGGTGAAGTGCTTGGGTCACCATTAGCTCTCTTTATAACCTACAGCTCTGAAATGTCTGCTGGGGCCTTTTAGGAACTAACCTAGGAAATGAAGTTATAGTGCAAACAGCCTGATTTTCTTCTAACAGAGAAGTAGCCTCCTTCCGACGTTTTCTCATGTTGTCCTCAACTGTGTTGAACTCGGACATCGTTCCTCCGTATGGCTGTCCAGGTGTCCCCTCGATCATGTAACTCCCGTACTCCGGTCTCCAAAGGGTAGGATGGCTACACAGGAGAAAAGTTTAGTTTCACCGGATTCTTTTGCTACTGTCTACTCAATTTTTACAAGTGTTTTCAATGTTGCTCAGAAATCACTAGGTGAAAATGAAGTTTCCCAAAGGCTGTTGATGTTCCATAGCTCTTCAACTATATGAGTCCAAAATACTTATAAATAACTGAAAACGCACAACATGGTATTCTCTGTCCAAGACAAGCCAATCCACTTTGCAGGAAAGGAGATGCGGCCTTAAGTGCTCTTTCAGTTCAATGCCTGATGTCGAAACTCAAATGCAGTGCCCCAAAATCTTTTGAGTGGCCAAGCCTGTGGAAAAGGAACTAAGAGAGTACCTAGTGCCCTCCCCCTCTGTCTACGTAAATGAAGAAATATATAAAAACGTGGCAGCCAAACAAAACCCATATGCAAATTTCATCTGGCACCAAGGTTTGTGATCCTCATCATGATTTGGCAAAAAAAAAATTTTTTTTAAACACTTAACAGCAAACAGGCTTTACATTGAGCTTACTGTTCTAAGTGCTTTAATATATTAATGTATTTAATAACAACCCTATGAGGTAAGTAGTATTACTACCCCTACTTTACAAATGAGGAAACTGAGGCACAGTTTCAAAGTAACTTGACCAAGGATACTAAGCTACTGAGAAGAGTAATCTGGATTTGAACATGGGCAACTTAAAACCACAGCTCGTGCTTTTAACTGCTATACTATCCTGCCTCCTATAAATCTGAGAAAAGATTCTATTCTAGTAATTCTAACGGTTTCAAAAACACGAAAACAACCTTCAGTGTGTCGCTTACTTTGGGTTTGTCCTTTCCCCCTTTTCTTGCAGAGTTTCAAGAACTTCCTCTCCAGACAGGACCAACTGGACTTTTTTATTTTCATGATCAAAAGAGACCAACATGTATTCCACCTATTGAAAATAAAGGAGAGAGAGGCAGATTAACATCTTCCCAGATTCGTACTCAGTGTGACCTTTAAAAAAAAAGGCAGGGAAATGTGATGGTTGGAAAGGCTCCATGGGGTAACAAGAGACAGCTACATTTGCTTACACTAACATACATAATAATCGCTTGTTTGCATAATATGAAAACCTGCAGAAGGTGGTCAGTCAACAGTGACACTGTTTGAGGACAAGAACTCTTGCTTCTCAACTCCTTCTCTCCCCTATTCTACTTAATAACCAAAACCAAACCCACTGCCAAAGAGTCGATTCTGACTCACAGTGACCCTACAGGACAGAGTAGAACTGCCCCACAGGGTTTCCAAGGCTGCAAATCTTTACAGGAGCAGACTGCCACATCTTTCTCCTGAGGAGCGGCTGGTGGGTTCGAACTGCCAAACTGCTGGATTGCAGTAAAAGGCTTTAACGACTGCACCACCAAGGCTCCTTACTCTACTTACTATCTCATAGAAAGGTCAAGATGCCCATTTTGACAAATCGTACTTCAAAAGAGAAGTGTTTCAAAGCAAAAGATCCTGTAAAGAACAGTTTCAAAATTAATTTGCATTTTAAAATTTATCCCCTCAATTGGCTTAGCATACTTTCAATTCAGTTTTGGTTTATCAAGGAAAATTTAAGACAATTTCCTTCCTCTGAAAACAAATTTACAGTGCAGGGCACACTAGTGCACTTACAACAATGCTGGGTGGAATTCTGATAAAAATCAAGAGTTAAATACCAAAGTAAGACTTTTCTGAACCGTACAAGTACAACCTGCTTTTGTTTTCCCTGAAACCGCGTGCTCTAAATTGTGATGTTGTTAGCTGCCTTCGAGTTGGCCTGACTCATGCCGACCCCCACGCACCAGAGGATGAAACTGCCCAGTTCTGCACCATCCCTGTGACTGGCTGAAGGTCAGACGGCTGTGATCCACAGGGTATTCACTGGCTGATTTTCAGAAGCAGACGTCAGGAGCTTCTTCCTAGTCCATCTTAAACCTGGAAGCTCCACTGAAACCTGTTCAGCATCATAGCAACATGTACGCCTCCACCGGGCAGACGCGGCATGGCAGCATGTGAGGTGCACTGGCCGGAAATCAAACCCAGGTCTCCTGCATAGAAGGCAGGAATTCTACCATTGAACCACCAATGACCCCTTAAATCATGATTCTTGGGTAAATAGTGAAGATTATGAAATTACTATTTGTGACTGAAATAAACACACACATCATCCATATGAAAGTGAGAAGGCATGGAATTGGATTATTCAGGCAAACACTTGATATAACCCTTTCCACAAGCTACCAAGGCAGTTACTGTGTAAAAGAGGTGGCAAACTGATGCCCCACAGAGCAAACCAGTCTGCAGATGTTATTTTGTTTGGCCTGTAATAGTAAAAAAACAAAAAAAAAAAAAAAAAAAGGGCAGCCAACAGTATACCCACTATCTCCTTGACATTTCACATGTAAACCCAGATTCCCAGCCTTAAAAACAAACATATGCCCACAAGCCCAGCAGCACGGAGGCCTGTAGGTAGGGAGGGGGAGTCTGAAGAGTGGCCACTCTCCTTGGAGGGTATGTGTGCTGTGGCCTACAGTGGCCCCCACTCACCCCAGGTCTGCACAAGTGCTGGCATTTACGTTTACTTATCTGTACTTGGGCATACCTGCCTGGTTTTGGAAGGCATTTGGGGCAGCCACCCCATCACAGAAACTGTAATGTTCTAGAGATTGTTTTAACACCCTTCAGCTAAGAAATATAAAGGGGGAGAAAAGTTACTAACCAAAGGAACTAGCCTGGCAGGTTTGAGTAATAACAAAAAAATTTTCAATTAACTTTTATTAGTTATCTGACTGATGAGTCTAAGTTTCCATTCTTGCTTCTCTGTTAGAATTTTTTAGTTCAAGAAATAAGGTTAAGTCTGCTTGATTTGGGCACATGAACCAGAAATGTGAGACTGGCACCTGTGCACTCACTCAGTGTCAACTGATCAAAAACTACAGGCTTCAGAATCTGGAACTGCTCCTGACATTAAGTACTGTTACCAGATAGCATCTATAGATCCATGACTGCTGAACACAGCTAAAACCTGATAGAACACAAAACTTGTTAAGTCTCAGGATGGATATATAAAGAGAAGATTGATCATAAGTAAACAAGTTTATCTTTAAATGAGCATAATGAGAAAAGGTATGCCACGAACTTTTCATACATGGATCCTAATCTTCAAATGCATCATGCAAAGTAGGTATGAGCACCCCATTTTACAGACTGGCAAACAGGCTGAGTAAGCTGCCCAAGGCCACGATGTCAGTGCGGTGATAAAGGATGAAATCCAGTTCTGCCTGGCCTCAAGGTCCAGAATACCCTGCTGCCAGGACTACAGATGAAGAGCTACAAAAGATGCCAGTCTTTGTAAGTGATAAGCTTTTTTATAAAATAATGTGGCCTACAAGAGGCAGGGAAAGGTTATGTGATACTGGCTGCAAAGCTCTCAAATTGATTATGCCTCTATTTTATGAAGTCGGCTGGCATTATGTTATAGATTTAAATAATGAGCCAGTCCATCTCCTGGGCCAGGATGAAGCATTCCTAGCTCTCCCAGCTAAAAGAAATCTTTCTCCTTCACCCACAGGGTCCAAGACATCTGCCTGGCATCATGCATTATTGGTATTATCTTCCTAACCAGATTTCCTGAAAGATGAAAAGACGCTTCTTTGCTTACTCAGTTCCCATCATGTATCAAAACAAGTAAGAACTTCTGTAGCAATTATATAAGCTAAGTTACAATATCTTTTGTTAACTTCCTAGTATTGAAATCCTCAATTTTCAAAATCACTCTTTTAGCCCACAAGTTTAAAGTATGGGGAGGGTAAAAGAACAAAAAGCTCAAACTCAAGACCGTTTTAAATATCAGCCAAATGGATGACGTTTAAAATGTTAACAAGCCAAAGTCCCCCTAATTAAAAAATCAGTCCATGATCTCATTAAGCAAATGAAAGAGAAAAACTTCAAAATATTTACTAATGAGAAAAAAAAACAAACTCAGGATAAAATCTAAGTTCAGTTAGAAGCCTTAAGAATTCCCTGAACATTTTTCAAACTCAAATTTAAGGGCTTCTGAAGTCATCGCCCTATGGTTACCTTGATCTTTCTGCATCCTTCTTCAAAATGGCTTTTTAACCTCTTTGCTTTTGTTATCTTATTTAATCTTTCCTCCCATCCTCAATACCTTTATGTTTAGTTTCAGTTCTAGGTTCACAGAAGCACTCAGAATTAAATGAACCTCTGAGAACCAAAAGAGAGCTGAAATGGGCTTTGCTCAGTAACTTTGCCAACGAGTGATAATAAAAGCAGTGATACGTGAAGACAATGCTTTCCCAATATAAAACATCTACAGCCAATATGATTTATTTTACTATTATATCTGAATTTCTGTCCGTATCTTAAACTTCCTTTTGTGTTTAAAGGATGAAAGAAACGGGTAAAATCTGAGAGAAAATAAGAAACAGAACATGGAAGCTCTTCTGTACCACAACACCGATTCCAAGGATTAAACTATACAAGTTTCCTAACTTCAAATAGTATCTAGGCTATAAAACCATAGCTATAGCAACATCTCTCTTCGTACACTGCACACACATATAATTCTAAAAGCTTATACACAAAGTGCATTATAAATGGGTTCCAGAGTGAATAATCCAAACGTGTAATTAACATACCATCTTGGAAGTAGTGGCACAAATAGAAGCATCCTTCCTGTTTCAGGATTAGTCACCCAAAAATAGCCAATGGGCTCTGTTCTCTGAAGAACACAGATCACAGCTCCCAGAAGTAACTTAGGGACATTGCTATTTGGTGCCCATCAAACTATCCTTTTAAATAAGGGAGAACAGGCCCAATAAAAATACCCATCCACATTGCAAGACAAAAACATTTTAAAGTGCACTACTTTTTCTACAAAGGAAATTTAAAACCCCTTAGGTTTCTACTGCTAAAAGGCTAAATGTTATCCCACTGGCATAAAAGTCATTTAATGTTTCTAAGCTGTTAAATCAAAGGCAAATTCAAAAGACTACTACGTACTTAGTTTTACCTGTTATACAGTAGTAGCTAGAACAACCTGGACACAAATCCACCTCAAGTCATTTAAATGAAGGTTTGAACAAGCATGAAGTGCTTTATGTTCATTTGAAATTAATCCAATAAAAATAAAGAACCTTCCCGCCTGGAGTAAAGGAGAATGAAGAACAACAAAGTCACAAGGAAGTATTAGCCCAAGAGACAGAATGGGTCACATAAACCAGAGACTTCATCAGCCTGAGACCAGAAGAACTAGATGGTACCCAGCTACCACCAATGACTGCCTTGACAGGGAACACAACAGAGAGTCCCTGATGAAACAAGAGAAAAGTGGGGTTCAGAACTCAAATTCTAGTAAAAAGACCAGACTTAATGGTCTGAGACTGGAGGAACCCCAGAAAGCATGGGCCCCGGACTTTGTCAACTATTCCCGAGGCCAACACTTCAAAGATTAGACTGGTACTTGTGAAGAGTGTGTTTCTAAGCTCAAGTAGAGACATGAGACTAAACGGGCAGCTTCTGTCCGGAGGGGAGACGAGAAGGCAGAGAGGGTCAGGAGCTGGTTGAATGGACACAGGAAATTGGGGTGGAAAGGAGGAGTGTGCTGTCACAGTATAGGGAGAGCAATTAGGGTCACATAACAATGTATGTATAAATTTTTGTATGAGACTAACCTGAATTGTAAAATTTCACTTAAAGTACGACAATTAAAAAAAAGGGGGAGGGGGTGGGAAACTAATTTGCTCTGTAAACTTCCACCTAAAGCACAATAAAAAAAAAAAAAAGATAGGGAAAAATAAAAAACCTTAACTGAGGGTGATGTAAGTACCTGGTACAGTGCTGAATATGTAACAGAAAAATACTGTAGCATTAAAATTCAAGAAACAG